TTGATTGATTGATTGATTGATTGATGATAAGGGCTGCGAGTGGTTCGAACGCGCCGATCGTCACCCATGCTGTGGTGAACTTGACCCTCCTGGACTTGCGCTCCTGTTCACGAACACCTTCCAGCTGGACGGCGGCCTGCATGAACCAGGCGAGGTTGGGGGGGAGACGAAGACGTAAGAAGACAAGCTCCAAAGACCGAAGACGCGCGCCACGCAGAAAATCCGCATAGTTCGACCTAACAGCTGCTTGGCGCTGTTTCTTTTGTCTTCTCTGGGGTTCTTTTGTTGATGTCTTTGTTCGACTTGTTCTATTGTGTTTTCACTCCGACTCACTGGCTGCTGAGTTTTGGATTGGGGCACCTTGGTCTGGTGGGAGGGGGGACGTTGAGAAGTACCACCTCGGTACCTCACGATCCTGTCAACGATTCGGGAGGTCAAGAATCTGATCTTTCAGCTTGTTTTTGGTATATGACCGCTCTTCTGGGTCCCAAATCCCAGAACAGCAGGAGCTCTAGTTTTTTCAGTAGGACGAACCTTGCTTTGGTATTGCACCTACATGTCCGCCTTCAAGTTCAACATCAATGCTCCTTGGTGGCATCCCGAGGGTTCCAACTCAGCCATCGGAGTTGGGGGAGTCTTCACTGACCATGCTCCCGCAAGCTCGCCATCATGGACGAAGCAGGATGGCTTTGACCCACCCACGCCTTCGGCACTTCACAAGAACCGAAATCACCAAGTGTGCAGGAAAAAAGCCCTATATCAGAGCCTTGAAACGGGCCACGTTGCATGGTATGACTTGGTATAGAGGAAAATACATGACAGCCACGCAACTTGGAGCGACGGCACAGCCCTGGAGTTTGACAGAGCCCATGACAGTCCAGGCTTCGCCTGACACCCAACTCACTGGATCCCACACGAGCCCGAACCGTCGACCTTCTGGGAAATTTCGACAGAACAGACTGTCTTTTTTCTCATGGAACATGGGTCAACTGAGCTTGACCAAATGGGATTTGTTTAGGGCCTGGCTTCATCACCAGCCAATCGATTGTGCTTGCCTCCAGGACACTGGATGGAAGTTGACCGGAGAATGGCAGGATCAACAGTTCTCCTACCTACATTCCGGTGCCGCCAATCACCGAGGCGGTCTTTGACCATTGTGCGGAATGGGTTTTGTTCAGCAGATCACAGTGCATGGACCACACCCATGGACAGCAGGATTCAACATGTCAGACTCTACAAGCGCACGTACAGCATTGACCTGCTGAACCTGTATCAGTTTCCGTACAACATGGCTGACCCTGCATGTGGCCCCCAACGTTCACCCTTTTGGACAAAACTGGAGCCTACGCTCAAAGCTCTTCCACGACGAAACTGCTGGATTCTGGGAGGAGACTTCAATACCAGCCTGAGACACCAAGCACAATGTGTTGGACTTAGTGACTTTGCTACACCTACGGGCCGATCCAGGGGAACCATACACAAGGATGCGCACATGCTCCAACAACTCCTGAAGGATTTTTCCCTGGTGGCACTCAACACCTGGACACATGAACTTCAGTTCCTCAAGGATTGACTTCATCATGGTCCAACAGAGGGATGGGGACACAGCTGCAAAACGTGTTAACTACTTGCAGGACCTCCCGCAGATGATGGGCCTTCATGACGACCACCAACCTTTGCTGTGTGGTATCCCCTGGAAGCGGTTCCACCACCACACCAAATCTCCTGGGTTGAGCCGCATGCAAAGGCTGACCCTCCAACAACGACCATCTCCATGAAGGGCTTGCTCAATGGGACCCCACTCGCCCGGATCTCCAGACCCTGAACACTCTGTTCAATGCCTGCCGGAACTTCAACCCGCCACTCCGCCACGCTCAGGATGGTTGGCAACAGAAATGGCAATGGGCAAGTGACTCATCCTCCAATATCCTCCAGCACCACAGTGGAGGCCACTGGGCCGCTGGGAGCTCCTTGACTTATTTCAAGGATGGAAATGGGTAATGCAACAGGTGCAGTGGCGGAAACAGACTCGGCAACGAGCCATAGAACAGAGACGAGCTCGGATCCAGACCATCATTGACACGGCCTTATGTACTGGGCTGACAACAATACGCCACTATTGGACATCTATGACTCCGGTGATCTGCAGTTGCTGAAAGAAGATGGCAATCTCAGCGCCTTCCTGACGCATCGATGCGTCCTGTGTGGCTACTGGGCGGCAAGAACCCAGCAGATGAGTGCCCATGTGAGCTGGAGCAGCAAGAGGCTGCCATGCTCATCAATCAGGTCTTGCCCAATATCACCAGGGCTAGGGTTCAATCTCCGTGTGAATATTACAAAAAGGAGTTCAAATCGAAAACACACACACACACACACACCTGTGCAGTCATGAAACAGCTCAGACTGGCACGGTGACCGAAAACATCGACAAACTCATCCTGATGCACCTGAACCCAGCCTGACAGGTACTCATTTGATTCAGGCCTAGTACCACTGCACCACACGTGGCAGTCCTTAGCTTGCCGCATCCGCGCACCACGGTTCAGCGCACATTCCAACCTCTCCGTGACCAGGTGAAATGCAGCCACTGTGACACAACCTTCCTGACGTTGAACGCCTTGAAGTTGCACATCGACGGGAATCAATGTGAGACCTTCATCCAGGACAATGCTGAAGTCCCCTTCCTATGGCACCATCCAGTGATCTTGGCGGGACTCAGTGGTGGGACCTTCGACCATTTGGTGGGGTACAAAAGCCTGGTCCAACGTCTTGGACTCCGGTGTGGTCACTTCTCCCAAAGTTCCACCTCCTTGTTGCGCCATTTGGGCAGTGAGCACGGAGATCTATGGACGAAGTATGCAGAGTGGTTACAAACCCAAACTGCCTTGGCCAAGTTCGGCTGTACATGCACTCGGCCTCCTGGTGGTCCGCACGTGTGCACATTGTTCACACACCTGGCCCTCTTCGTGCACCACGATCTTCACAAGTTTCGGGTTTCTGATGAAGACACCGTCCTCACTCAGGCCCTCAGCTGCACCTCACGGTGCTCTGCCCTTCCTTGCGCCTGCTGTATCCCGAGTTGGATGAATGGCTGGTCAAGGGCGAGCTATCGAAACTTGTCAGCATACCGGACCTGTGCCGCCTTGAGCCAGTGCTGCTCATTGTGTGGGCGATCGGTTGGGGCAAATGACATGTACCTTCATCTTCGTCATCAACATGCCCGAGACTATACACGTGGATCGTTGTTTTATAGGTACTTGATGGACATGACCCCTCAGACTCATCAATGCTCAGTATGCATCTTGCACACCACTGCAGCACATGAGTGTCCAATCCTCCTCCAACTAGCCGGACTGCTTTGTCGTCTCCACCATGGACATCGAGGAACAGACCAGAACCATGTTCAACAAATGCGGGGAGTTCTGAAGGCCCTTACGTCTCACATGGAGGACGAAGACGGCTCCCTGCCCCAGTCCAAAGCGGATCGTGTCCCAACCAAAGGCAAGGGAAAAGGCAAAGCCCGCAAGAATCATCACTCGACCCAACAGCCAGAGGATCTACGCAACATAGTGCACACCTTGGCTCGACTCTCTCTTCGACACACGGACGCTCTGAGAGGACTGGCCATGGACCAGGAATGCCTTTTTTTGAGCCCCGGTCCAGGGAGCATCATGTTGAAAATGATGCAGGCCACCGAAGAGTGGCACTTGACCGAACCAAAGGACCGCACCTTGCCACGTCGAATCAAGGTTCTCAGGGTTCTCTTGGAGGAGCTGATGTCCAGAGTCAGGAAGCTTCAGGCCGCGCGACCCGAAGACGAATTGGTGCAAACACTGATCAAGTTCCAGTATGTCACCCAGGGCGAGAACAGCAACGACCTCAGGTTCAGCTTCCTGCAATGGAATCCAGCCCTGAAGGCACTGCAGATCGACCAGGAACGTCAGGCCCTGACCATGACTCACACAGTCAACCAGCTCACCAAGATCCTGACCTTGCTGCAGCAGCACTCCCTCATCATCCAATTCGGGGCTCTCCGTCCCAATGCACAGATTCAACAGAACTTGCACAAGGAGCAGAACTCCAGCCCACAGGTGATCCCATGGCACCTATCTTTTGCCATGTCTCATCGACGCTCAGCGGAAATTCTCCTTCAAGGTTGTTGTAGGCAAAGAGGACACGGCGGCGATACTCACGCATCAAATGGGGCTGCACCCCAGTGTAGTGAGGAATGCCATCTCGATCACAAACGATCTCATCGTCCTTGTAGAAAGGCTTGCCAGATTGATCCATGGCTCAAAGGGTCGAAGCCGGGGTCAGCCCCGGCTCCGCTACCAGTGCGAAGTCGCCCAGCTCTTTTTCGCGACGCACAAACACGAAGTATATGTGAAACCATTCAAACATGTGCTCTTGGCTTCTGTGGATATCTTATGCATCATCCGTTGCAACCACAGGCCGGACTAGTCTCGGGGCATCTGTCTTGTGTTCATCGACATGGCCGCTTCTTGTCGGACCGGTGCTTGTAAATGTGAGGCGGCGACAAATCAACTGCAAACCACTGCATGCTGGGACATCTTCACATATGTATATATATATATACAGGGTCGTGATTGAGCGCATTCAGCACTACCAGTTTGAACTACTTTCCAACGCTTTCAAAACTTGTTCGGAAACGGAACATATTCTCGCACTCAGTTTGGCAGGAACTGGCACATTCAGGAGTATGGCAACTAGTGTTGGGAAGGATGCGACAAGCCACCTTGCAGAGGTCTCTGTTGGCAGCGCACCTGGGACGCAGGTTGGAGGCCATGTAGTCACGGAGGATGGCTTGTACCTCAGGGGGTTATATGCAACCCGGGCAATGCTTGCTATATGAACGCAACAGTGCAAGGGCTGCTATCAAGACAGGTTCCTTCACAAACAATCAGCGGGCGATATTGCCGGATGTCTTTCAGCTGCTGCTCACCACCTCTCCTGCTGAGCCGCTGCTCCTTTGGTCCAATGGACCATGGTTGACTTTGTTACAAACGTGGGAAAGGCCGTTCGAACAGCATGATTTGGTTGACTTTGCTCACTGCGTCCTCTCTCTTGTAGCAATGTGCTTCCTTAGCAATCTCTGGGAGGCCAGAGTGGATGCAGATGCTCAGGTTCGGACGGTAGATAGCGGATCACACTTCTGCGCAATGAGGCTCTATCTCTGTGACGGCAGAAACGGTGACACGGAACTTCGAGTTTTGATCGCCACATGGAGCTTAGAACCATATGGCCTTCAAGTTGTGCATGCAAATAGAGCTTCCAGGAGCTACGATGGACCTCACCAGTGTTCCTCCCATACTTCACGGATTCCTCCATGGACTCGACCGAGCTGTTTCCTTCCATCTGGGAGGGGGGCCCACACTCAGGGCACTATAGGATTGCACTATGGGATGGAGCCCAATCACACTTGCTCGATGACGGAGCGCCCCCGTCGTCACGACCTCGCTGCCTAACACGGTACTGAGGAACTGCTGTCTCCTTTGGCTGACCTGCCAGAATGGAGGCGCTGTGATGGTGGACCTGGAGACACCACCGAGCGGCTGCGCTGCTGAGCAGAGAACAGATGATGGAGAACCTGCGCCACGCCATCAACCCAGGACGACCGTGGCATGCAACTTGGCTTACGTCGATCGACGGTCTCGATGTCGAGTTTCTGTTGCGCTGGCCGGATGTCTGCCCCTTCCTGGTTTTCAACTGTGCGCTTTGCAGCACCACGAGCTTTTCGCTGCTGCTGAGCCGCTGACTGAAGAGATGATGCAGCATTTCATGATGCAGGCACTGCCGGGACGCGTTTGTGCCTGTCATCCATACCTGCTTTGGACGAGCGTGTATGCCCATGCTTGCTCAGTTTTGGACTGCTCAACAGATTTCTCAGAGCTGCGCAATTGCCAACGCACAGACTTCCAGCCATCAATTGGCATTGCAGCTCGAGCGTTCCTTCAGCTGACCCTGATGGGTTGAAGTGCTGGCCCATTTCACTGCAGGGGTCAACGCCACCTCTTAGCACAGAGGGCGTCTCGAAAGAAAGAAAGAAAGAAAGAAGAAGATGATGATGATGGTCATAATATAGTGATGATGATCACAAGAATCACAAGTTGGCCAATGCCAAGATAAAGATTTGCTTTCGTTTTCGCGCCGACCTGTCGCGCGTCTTGCCAGGTCGCTGTCAAACGGTTGGTGAGCACTTTGGATGGCGCTATCTTCTTTGGCTGTGAGTTCAGCAAGCTTTGCGCTTGGATGCTGAACCACAGCAGGGTACTCTGTTTCTCCAGTGTTTTTCACGCAGAGCTTCTTGCTCTGACAGGGTTCCACATGTTCTCCTGCTATGGATCTTTTGCACAAGCAGCATGAAGAACATTGTCCACCGTACTCTGTTTCCGCAGTGATTTTCATGCATGGCTCCTTGGTCTGACAGGGTTCCACATGTTCTTCTGATATGGATCTTTGACACGTGTCCTCTGAGCGGTCCGCGCTTGGTGCAACCTTCACGGATCCCGCTGTCTTCGTCTTGTTTCCAGTTGTTCCCTTGTGGGGCCCAACCTCGGGAATTGGAATCCACATTCACCGACACTCCTCGCGACGCTGCAGCGCCACCCGTATACTGTGTTTCTGCAGGCCGAACAACGCCCTCAAGGCCTCCTTTCTCCGGCTGCCTGCACTCCGACGCCATGCTACGACAACCCGAGTTGAACGCGTCGGTCGACTCCACGTCGCAGGCTCCGGTCGAGAAGAGAACCGTCAGGCGCTCGACGTGCACTCTCTCCGCAAAGTGTTCACAGAACCTCACATTGCACCTCACGTTTGAGCACTCGACGTGCTCGATCGCCGCAAAAGGTTCACCAAGGGCAAACGAAATTCGCAGTTCACCTCACGTTTGAGAACTCGACGCGCACGATCGCCGCAGAGCAATTTTTTCCAGGGATCAAGACAATTCGCATATTACCAGAGTTTCGCGCATCCAACACGCGCGATCTCGGCAGAGGGTCGTGTTTCGTGAGCATTGGCCGGGCCCCGCCGCCTCAAGAAAAGTTTAGAAAGATGTCGAAGTTGTAGTTGTGCAAGTGAGCTTTGTAGGTGTCTTCACTAGTAATTATCTCGACGCCCGTATCTCAACGCCTGTATCTCTACATCTGTATCTCCACGCCTGTGTCCCAAGACCAATTTTTATCTCAACGCCTGTATCCCAATGCCTGTATCCAAACACCTGCATCTATGTAGATGTGTGATAGCAGGTGCATCACCTGCATTTGTGGACTTGTGTTATGATGATGATGATGGTGATGACGACGATGATGATGATACAAGTGTGTTGCACCAGATACCTCAATCACCTTAATCTCCACACTTTGATGACGAAGAAGAAGATGATGGTGATGATGAGGATGATGATTATGTATGTATGTATGTATGTAAGTTATATTTATTGTATTTAGATGGATATTTGAGATGATTAGATGGCAACATGTTTCTCTGGGAGAGAACTTATTGTCATAAAAAGTTGACATGCACTTTGTGGAGGGGATCCTATAGAGGGATAGGATGCTATAGTCCTATGTATATAAGTAATTGATCCAGCTATGTATACCACCCAAGAGTTGCATGTTTAGGAGCCCAAGGTTTCATGTATGTATGTATGTATGCATGCAGGTATGCGTGTATATATTTATGTCTGTACGTATGTATGTATGTACGCATGTACGTACGTATGTGTTGTAGCAGTTTTATCAATCACCTGTGTACCCACACCTTGATGATGGTGATGACGATGATGATCATGATGCTGCCGGTGCTGATGATGTTTACGATTGTGATGATGATGATGATGATGGCGACTGTGATGACGATGAAGAAGAAGATGATGGTGGTTGGACAGTTGAAATTGGTAGCCGTTCTTGACCGAGAACCCTTGGCAGGTGCGAAAGCTTTCGAGAACAAAACAAAAAATTCTCAAAACCTAGGTTCGCCCCCCAAAAACTGATTGGGAAACGAACCCTGGGACTCTGAAGGTGGAGGTGTTGGTGTCTTAAGGGGCGATGGAGGTTCCCTTGGCCATTGCTGGTTCAGCAACAACACCCCAGGCGTGCGTCTTTGGTCGAGTCGACTCCCCGGGCCGTGACTCGTTGGGCGTCGTTGGTCGACTTCAGCGTCTTCATGCGTCCACGCGCGCGTGCGCGCGATTGTGAACGCGAGAGAACGCCGCGGTCTCCGAAGCGAGACCGAGGTCTTCAGATCTCCTGTGTCGTGGTTTTGGGCCCATCCTTAGCACCTTGGCGTGCGCGCAAAGTAGATGTTGCGAAACAAGGCTGAGATGTTCTGGAAGGATGTCAAAAATCTTTACAGTATCATCCAGGTTTGTGAGTCTTCTCTCCAAAATGGGACGGGTGCACTCCTCAAAATTAGGCCACGTCGCAATGAGTTGGCTGGGGTTCTAGCGACGTTACCGATTAGCATGTTTTGACCACAAAACAGTGGTAACATTGGTGAATGCTTGGCCATAGGTTGCAAACATGTCAGTTAAAACAGCTCCGCCAAGAATCTTCTGTCAAGGTCAACCGTGCACATGGCAATATCTCCAATCTGGGGCACCCACCTGACAAGCTGGCGCCCAACAATGTTTTCATCAGGCGTCGCCCGGGGTGAAACACATGCACCATGCCTCCTAGGCGGGGCCAATTGTTTTGTCGCCGCCGCCGCCGCCGCCAACTGTAGCAGTGTTAGAATAAAACACGGTTGATGGTGCCAGGCCCTTTTTTCCTTGCAGCCACTTCAAGCGGCAAGTACTTCCCATCACCTTGCCTCCCAACCCAGGCCTGCTGAAATGCACGAATGTTCTGGAACGCAAGGACTATGTTGATGAGCAAATGATGGAACAAATGATGAATGCTGAATGTTGTGCAACGCGTGGACTATGTTGTGGAACAAATGCTGAATGCTGTGCAACGCGTGGACTATGTTGTGGAACCAATCATGATTGTTGCGTAACGCGTGGATTATTTTGTGGAACAAATGGATGTTGTGCAGTGTGTGGACCGTGGGATGATGAATGTTGTGGAACAGATGTTATCGTTGTGGAAAGGGTGATATTTGTTGAATGCTGTGGAACCCATGATAAGTTTTCTGGAGCGGATGCTGAGTGTTTTCAATTAGCGGAACAACTATGTCTAATGGACAAATTTTCTGAAACATGTAGCCCTCCCCTGAGTGTCCCATAAACATGCTGCCTATAGCGCACGGAATTTTGTAAAACACCTCTAAAACCCAGGCCGCTAATTCCGGCGTGAGCTTAGGCTGCATCTTTTGTTGGACAGATGCCGGATACGAAACCCATTTGTATGACCTTTTTCAGGACACACTTGCCTATGTACATGTGGCAATTTTGCGCGCGATACAGCTCACACTCTTCGTCACCTGAAGAACATGTGCCCACTCTGGACCCATTGTAGGTGTGCTGGGGGGCAATCTAATGCTGCATTTACTGTAGGGATGTTTTTTTTGATTTGCTTCTTGTTGCTTGCTTCTCTATGATTTTTCCTGCTGCTCTTCCTGGCTTTTCTTTACTTTCCTGCTTCTTGTCCTCGTGTGGTGTATTGTTCCCCTGTCTTAATTGCTTTTGCCTTCTATTCTATGGCCTTTGTTGCCGCCGTTCTTTTTGATTTGCTTTTCAATCTTTGCGTTTCAGTTGCTGTATTCTGGCTTTTTCTGGTTTTCTATATGCACTTTTCCTACTCTTGTTGTTTGTTTTCTGCTCTACTGGTTGCTGTAATTTGTTTCCCCTTAGGGGACAACCCAAAATGCATAATAATGTTCTTTCTTTCTTTGCAGCCTTCTCGATCATGATGCACTTGTTTCATGTTTGTTGCCCTGCAGTCGGAACTTTTGTTTTTGTTTTTGCCTTGTGGTCCAGTTGGTTAGTCTATTTTTGCACACAGCTAGCTTTCCACTTCCACTGGAGGAACTATAGAGAAACCACGGCTGCAAATAATTACCCAAGGCAACGCAACAAATCTACAAATAAAACCGATGGAAACCGGGCTCCCGCAATCCAAGGACTTGGTGAACTTCTCCCCAACCCAGCTGCAGTTGCAGACAGCTCCTGGGGCGAAGCCGGGGTGGGAAGAAGACAGCCATGGCCTTCCCGTGGCCTTTCCATGGCCTGTTATGTTGGATGTGAGCAGATGAATGGATGGAAGAAGGTGGAACGATTTAGTGTTTGCATCGACCGTTTAACCATGCTCACCACTGACCTAAATTCCTGCATCATGCTTGGGGAACCCAAGTCTGTAGTTGGTCTTTCAGCTTGGCCTTCGGGTCGCGCTTGTTCTCGCTCTCGACCGAGACCACTGCAGATTGCTGCTCAGTTAGCCTTTTGGGCGGCAGCATTGAACTGGATGACTCATAGAAGGTTGACAAGTTTCATGTTGTTTCATGTTCACACCTTACGAGGGCCAGGTTGTCAAGAACAACAGGCTGGCATGAACACATGAACGCATGTGGCCAGTTTTACCACGGCTCGCAACGGTGCATCAAAGGGTTTGGAACACCTGGCTTTCGCGTGGATGGAGGGCCATGGTGCCGAGCGAAGACGTGGAGGGTGTGCCGGACACTGTGGAGAACCATCATGACGACCCAGTCGCACAGGAGTGGGAGATAGCTGTCGCCACGGGTTTTCACATGTTCTTTGCACCTCAATGGCACGTGAGTAAGAGTGTAGTAAGTATATATATAATTTGATGCTAGAAGCCTGGGTCGTGTAAATGGCCAAATCCGGCGAATCAGATCCTCCGGTCAGTCCTTGGTTTTTTTCCAGAAGTCTTGGTCTTCGTTCCCCGAGGAATTGGAGACCGGAGGATTGGAGGATGAGGATGAGATTCTGGCCGCCCTTCGGCAAGAAGAGATCACCGAGCGAGTGGGGAAGATCCTCTCTCGCATGACACCGTGTGGGGTCGACATCCTCCGTGGGACCAAGGCTTATCAGGTTCTACAAGGCTTCGGCTCACCCTTGCGGCATCCGAGCCCTTCTCTCCATGCGAAGAGCTATCCCACCGAAAAGATTCAGACGTTTTGTAGCCACAGCTGGCAGGGGTGGTGGTTGGCCAAATATCTCACCCTCCTGCTGTTTTACAATGGCACAGCTGCTGCTGTAGTCTCATCCATAGGGGCTGCCATAGCTGCTGGCCTCTTTTGCTTCGACGTCCTGCCAATATTGAAAGCCGAGGATTCGCAATACTGGTCGTCCTTTTGGGCAGTGATTGTGGGTGGGCTACTGTATGTCATCACGCTGCTCTTTTGGCGGCGTTCATCCTCTCTCTTCCTTGACACCATCTGCATCGATCAAGTGGACCCAGCCCGAAAGTCCAAAGGCCTGTTCAGCATGGGCGCTTTTCTGAAGTCTTCCAACTCAATGCTTGTGCTGTGGGACGCCTCATACTGCTCTCGCTTGTGGTGCATGTTCGAGGTGGCCGGATTTCTCCGGAGCCGTCCTGACAGTGAGAAGCCAAGACTAATCATGAGGCCGACCATACTGGGCCCATGTTACATCTTGCAGACCTTCACCGTCTTCATTGTTTTTGTGAGTGTTGGCCTTGTACCTGATCATACTCCATGGGTGTTCTTTGCTTTTCAGGCATTGGTTTGCTTCTGTGGGTTTTACATCAATGTTGCTGCCTACCGGAACTATTTCTCGTCCATCGAGAAGATGCAAGCTGAATTGTGCGGTTTTGCCTTGCAAAACACAGCTTCCGATTGCTGCAGCAGAGAGCACAAGCTGCCAAACGGAGACAAGATGATATGTGACCGGGATTGTATTTGTAAGTGCATTTCCGCATGGTTTGGTCGCCTGGACAACTTTGAGAACAGAGTTCGGACTGAGGTGTTAAGCTGTCTAACTGAACAGCTTACTACTCAATTCTTCACCTATAGACAGTGCGTGACCACCATGGTTCCAATTCTTTGGTCCTTCATGGACACTGGCTCTGCGCATGTGCGCTTGAGTCAGAAGCCTGACCATCTCCCATGGCTCATGGGAGCCAGAGAGATGGCTCGAGGATTTGCATGGTGGCTGGGCGTTGCTCCAGTCGCCTTGCTGGCTGGCTTTCGGATCTCCTTCTACCTGCGGCGAAGATGGAATTGTGGTAGGTGTGATTTTTGGCTCAACGTCCCACCCCTCCTGGCCGTCGTTGTGGTCGTTGCCATCATGGTGCAACTGGAACAGTTGTGCTTTGGTGCCTTCCGGGCCAAGTCGGAATTTCTGGTTGCTTCGACCAACATTTCAAGACGTTTTAAATTCTGAAAAAGCCACGGCTACTGTCTCATATCAAGAGATGCATATTCCAGGAGTCCCCCCATGTTTTGGAGAGGTTCAGGTTCAATCATGTTCTCTATGACTCCCCTTGCTCCGGCTCCGGCTTGGTTGACCTTGCCAGGTGAATATGCTGGTCTTTGCAGCTGTGGTCCTTCCCCTCGCAGCTCTTCTCTTCGGATGTGTTGGTGCGCATCCAGGCATGAACCGCAAAAAGGCTGAGATACGCTACTCGCCGCGGAGTCCTTCCTCATGACAAGGGGGGCATGAAAGAAGCACCGGCGTAAGCAGGAGTTGGATGGACAAGGCATTTTGAACTTACGACATGTGGCACCAGCCGCGACATGCCTGGTGTCCACAGTCTCACTGGCTGCGTTGCGGTCTGCAGCTGGAGAGAAGAAGAATCGTGAATCCTTTTTGTGCCTGGGTTGGGTTTTAGCAGGCTTTTGTACAGCTTCTCTCAGAAGCTAACGAGGAGCTTTGTATACTGGCTCAAGTACATATCAAGGTGAGGAGCGCCAGTCCTACCAAGGTGGTTGTTTACCACTCACAACCATGTCTCACAATGTTCTCATGTTCGCGCAGGTCATGTCAGAATTATTTGTTATCAAACCTACCTATAGACTAGTATGCATTTAAAATAGTCTAATTGACTAGAATGTTGAGGCGTTCATCCAGACTCAGACATGACCTGACTTCACCATTGCTTTCTGAGAGAACATTAGAGTGTTTCACCCCAGATTCAGTCTATGCGTTTAGCTTGCGCCAGTGAGCGCTCTTGAGAGAAAAAAAACTCTGCAGAGGTACCTGATTCAGACGAACCCAAGAGCTGGGTCCAAATACTCTGTCGCTTTGACCAGAACGTCTGCAGATTGCTTCGTCTCCTGCATGGATTGGTGGACAACTCGCCGACTGGTCGGATCATCGTTCTCTTCCCCGCTTCATCGTTCAGTGCCACAAAAAGTTCAGGTCTTTGCGGATGGATCAGCGAGCGCTTGGGCGAGCTATGCACGCCTAGCATTTCCCTCCTTGAGCATGACCGCCGCTCGCCTGTGAGGGAACGCACAGCTGTGGTGTTTTTGAGAGTCAACCTGGGTCGCAGGGAACCATCTGGATTCAGACTTGCTTTCTTCGAACTTTGGCGTGTGGGTCATTCCATTTCTTGGGATATATATTTCGTTGAGATGCTTGAAAAAGACAGTGCTGACAGTGCTCAGGTCAGCGATTTGCGCCGGATGTACAAGGTGCCAAGTGGTGGACGGACTTGCGCCTTCGGCATCGTTTCTCGGAGAATTCTCCCGCCATTTTCATGGAATCGGGTGGTTTGGTTCGTGCCATCCAATGCAGGTGGATGTAACAAGGGACCCCTCCAAGTACACTGAGAACATGGAACTCTTGGCCAAGAGAAAGGAGATTTTTCAGGCCACCGAACTGCTGGACTTCTTTTCTGGTGGTGAGTTTAAACAAACACGTCCACGGTATTATATTGTGTTCAATCACCACAAGCACAGAATGCCCTCAATGCACCAGTTACGCTTCAGGATGTGGATTCTCCGTCCTCCTTTGAGGCCTCCTTTCAGCTCAGAAGGACCCTCCACTCCGCTTCCATGTTGAGACCCTCCACCCCCGTCACGGACCGTTGATGGGGCAGTTCGACACGGGCAGGTGCCGGACGGGCATCGAAATCATGCTCCCAAGAACTCCCAAGCCTTGGCCAGCTTCTTCAACATCTCGGCGTCCGAGGCGCTGTGGTAAGAGGATTCAAAGCACTTGTTGCTTGAGGTGAAGCAAACGTGTTTGATGATCACAGATGGCCCAAGAGTGAAAGTGATAGAGTCAGAACGACTTGGATAGAACGATATTAAACCAGGCTAACGCCTGGCAGCCGCCGACCCCCAGGGAAGTGGATGGCCTAGTCACTGCATCACCAAAGTAGGCAGAAGAGAGCACGGCAAATGGGTTAGCATTTTTCTTTGAAAATCTGGGAACCCAAAAAACAACACGGAGCCCCTAGACAACGACAGAACTATCTAGAAAAACCAGAGAAAATCCGGGAAAAACCTCGCAAAAGGCATGAAAGGCATGAGTAAAGCTTAGAAAAACCTTCGAAAATCCTAGAAATCCAGCGGAAAACCTTTGCAAGTAGAGGAAAATGGGTTAGCATTTTTCTTTGCAAATCTGGGAACCCAAAAAACAACACGGAGCCTTTACAAGTACCTACGACATGCTGGAAAACACCCTCGCAAAAGGTCTGAAGGGCATGAGTAAATCTTACAAAAACCTTTGAAAATCCTAGAAATCCAGCGGAAAACGTTGCAAAATCTGAGAAAAATCAAGGGCACTGGCGGCAGGGACCAGGCCGCGACCAGCCCGGGATTCGAGCCCGGGACCATTTAGGGACCGTGCTTATTTCCCGCGCGGGTGGAGAGGGTGCCCCAAGATGCAAATCAATTGGGATGGAGAAATCTTGGACAATTCTTGCACAAATCTGGGACCTTTTCGTCACTGTAACAAGGCTCCGGAGGGGTAGGGGAGGTAAGGCTAAGGCTAAGGTCTAAGGCTAAGGCTAAGGCTAAGGCTATCAATCAACAGTCACGCCTCACCCCACGAGTGGGGTCGGCGGATAAGGTTTTCGATGTGCTTCTCCTTTGCGTGTGCTTGCTTTGGGTGAGTGAGGGATGACTTTTGGAGCTTGCTGGAGCACCCGCCAAAGGCAGTAAACAAATATTCTTTAAAGCAGATATCTCACTGGCTTGTGCTCATTTACAAGATCTTGCGAGTTTGGACCTGTGTGACGCTGAAACCACAAGATGAGGAGATTCAAGATGCTGATGTGCCATGATGTGCTTATGAAATAGAACTCAGAATAGACGAGCCAATCCAATTGTAGCAGCTACATGCGCATGTGCCGATCTGGACAACTCCAGCCATTCAAGCTGGATGACTACTACTCACTTGCACTGACTCAAGCTGGATGACCTTGGTAGATGAGTCCTTAGTATGACAACTACCATCTTAATCTTTGATCTTATTTTCCTTTTCGGGCCAACTTCTGCGGCCAGGCGGACGCGCGGCGCTTCCATTTGGCCATGGGCAACCGCCGGCAGCCCTCGGTGCACTTCGTGGGCCCACAGGGACCGCCGGGCGTGGAGGGGAACATTGACCTCCAGTGGATCCAAGACGGGAGCATCTGAGCCCCAAAAGCGAACGGCCAAAAGGAGCCGGTCCCATGGACCCATTCGTTGGCCCGAACGAGACCATGTCCGAAGACTGCCACATGTCCGAAGACTGACCAACTGACTAGCTGTGACTAGCTTGGGTGTTCGAACATGTTTGTCGGTGGTCGTAACAGTTTCGTAAAGGACAAGACGCCGTTGGTTCCCTGCATTTGAAGCAGCTGGCCGGTGAGGCCATGGGCAACAATGTGCCGGTGACTTACTGGGCAACTCCCGGTGGTGATCCTGCCACAGCCCATGAGCAACTTGGATTCAGAAACTAGAAACCTCAGGTAGGGGGACATTGTAACAAGTGCATCACTACTACTAGTAATGCTGTTAGCTAGGGTTTCTCTCGTTGAGTGCTGTAAGGGCCGCAGAGGGTGTGCCTTCAATTGGGGGGTATGTAAGAACCCCATTCCCCCCTTGGGACCCCTGTGTTTTTGAAGTCGCTGACAACGAGGTCACGCGAATAGAACACTCATGACCATGGTGATGTCAAAACCAAACCTGCAGCCCTCCTGTGGCTCGTTTCACCTCCCTTGGAACTCTGAAGCTCATCTCACATGGTGCGGATGAAGAGTATAGCACTTCCCACCACCTGGCGAAGTGCGTGCGATGAATAGAGACAAGGAAGTCACGGTGCCACCTCACAGTGAGAAGCAGGTGTCGTTCTAGCTCCATTGCGGCACTTTTCGGGTCAAGGATTTTCCCAGTGCACAGCCTTTGCTGTACAGCCGGACCAATTCAACAGCCGGACCATTTGCCGCAGCTTCACTCGTAAATCTCCGATGTGACGATTCCAACGGGCTTTCCGGACCCTTGTCATCCGACTTGCTTTCTTAACATCAGCTCAAGACGGCCTTCTTCGGACGTCCGAGGGAAGCGCGTAACTTGAGGCCGTTCTTGGAGTGGATCCTGGAGCTTGCCAACAGAGACTTGGCCAAAAACAGGTCTAGAGTCTAGAGTCTGCAGTATTGCAACATCACATTCAGGTGCCATTGCACATGGAAGAGTTTGTCGATACCATGCTACCAGCATTGTGTATTGCACTGAAGTGTAGCCAACAGATACCCACAGATATGTGAAGACCGTCGATGAGTCGATGATATCCAACATGTGAATGGATGTAGCCGGATGGCGCAGCCGGATGGCGCAGGAGAACTGAAGGAACAACATAGAGGAAAGCACGAAGCATGACATGCACATGAAGCACGACATGAAGACAGCACGACATGACACTCGGGAAAAGCCTCATTTGTGTCAGGTACTGACCCGCCCTTGGTGCATTCCTTGAGCTATGGAGAGAACGAGGAGGACCAAACAACGAGGAAGCCAACAAAGAAGATGAGACACTGTGAACCGGGCCCTTTGTTTGACACGATTCCTCGTCCAGAGCAACGTGTGCACATGCTTTTCCTTCACGAACACGTGACGAGGGTGACAGTTCTGGTACACTCAGAACACCAAGCTCACTCTCCAGAAACAGTGACGGACCATGCTTGGACAGCACAGGTCAGAGAGTTCCTGTTTATATAATTTGACTTTAAAACACTGCTTTGCAGCAGTACATGGGGTGTTTTGTAATCCTTCTCCACCCGGAAGATGGTTCCGCCCCATCGCCCCATCCGACCGGTACAGTGCTGATCGCATCGCGTTCCGAAAGATGTGGCCTGGGTGTGTCCGCGCGGGTCTTGCGAGCTCTAAGGATATGGCTTTGGATCCAAAGGGACACAAAAGACAACAAAAGACCAAGAAGGAACCTAGACATTTTCACCAGGAAGGGAGCATCAAGACATTCTCTGTTGTTACCTTTGAGGCAGCCCCAACTTGCGTTTTTCCGTCAGCATCTTAGCATCTTCACCAAACAGGACATAAAGCACCGGACCTCTCTCCCCATCGCCTCCCTCCTCATCGCCTTTGGACTCAGTACGGTTTCGTCCTCGCCCCGCCAGGATTACTCGGCCGCCTACCAGCGCCGTGCCAACCTGGAGCTCGCCAAGCTGGGCTTGCGGGGCGTCACGGTGCTGGCGGCCAGCGGCGACACCGGTGCGGGGTGCTGGGAGGTTTTGAGGAAACCAGGGTGGGGGTGGTGGAAGAGGATCACTCAGGCAGGATGACTTATACTTTTTTGTTTTAAACCACCATAAGGTTGATCTGATTTTAGAAGTCTTTGTTGAACCTCGGTGTTTGAAGGCTTTGCAATGGGAAGTTGATTTGGTTGAAGCGGATCTAGGTCAAATGGAAACATCATAATTGGACCATCGCTATGAACTTGAGTTGGATGCATAGCCATGGACTAATTATGGACTTGATTTGGGCAAGTTGGATTATACCAGGACCATCCTGTCGGGTGGCTGGACTACCCCACACTACCTATAGGCTTCCAGACAGGGCACCCCGACAGGATTGTCCAGGTATAGTTCAGCATAGTCAGTCCAACTTGCGCTGAAACAGTGCTTTTGACCAATTCACTTCGCCGGCGGCACAGGCTCTTTTAGCCCAGGACCGCCGTTCTCCGTGCGCCACAGGTGTCCAGGGCGCTGCACAGGCGGGCGGTCAACCACCGCGATGCGCGCCCTTTGCAGCAGTGCTTTGGCCAAAAGGCGAGCTCTGTGGAAGGGTGTCTTTTGTACAACAGTTATGAACGTGCATTTGGGCCTGCCGGGTTGACGCTAACAGATGATTCACCTACCTGAGAAATCAATTGACCAGATTCCAACAAGATCCAAGAGACATCTTCAGAGTCATTTGGTACATTTTGGTACCAATCTCCCATCTCGCAGGAGGGGCGACAGGGAAGAGCGGATCTCGAGAAGTATGGATCGTTGGATACCGGAAGCTCCATCAAGACAATGCATTTCAACCCATCTATATATGTATGGTGACTTTTCTGTAGCTTCTCGGTTTCTGAGCTAATCTTTAAACACCCAAAATATCCCACAATCATCACTGATCGAATTCCACAGAATCCACCAGGACGAGCTGCTACCTACAGGTACTGTAGCAGATGCAGCACTCTTCCTTCTGAAAGATGGTGTGTTTTCTCACCGTCTGCGCTAGAAGCGTAACAAAACAAACCGGTCTGGCACCGGTTTAGCCAGAGATCCCTACGAACTACCGTACAGAGGAACAGAGGACGAGACTGCGGAAGAGGACGAGCCGAAGGAAGATGTCCTTTTTCAATACACCCTTCAATACACCGGGCTTGCAGGTGCGGCAGCATCACTCAGCTCCTTCATACCACCTCAGTGTTCCAAGTCGGTGCGCAAGCGGCCACACCCCGACTTGGAGGGTTGTCATCCAGGGGAAGGTGTGTATTTTAAATCCGGGAGACCCCCTGGCCCTGGCCGGGTAGACTGGTCTCTCGGAATGCCTCTCCTTCTTTGAGCTACACACACCCAAAACGATCCCAGACCGGTCCCAGGTTTTAGCCTCCTTTTGGAGGCTCGGTCGTCCTTTTGCGTCATACTCCACCTTCAATTGGGCCCTGGGGACGAGTTCCGATGAGATGTTCCAATCGAAAGGCTGGACCCTTGGCTACTCCTCTTGGACCCAGAAAGGGAGAGGACGTTTTATGAGTTTCTGGCTCACGTTGGTGACAGTTGCACGGGGCCAAACTACTACTGCTCACACTTTCAGGTGCCAACTCTCCCTCCTTCAGGTGCTTGGCTTCCTGTTCCTGCTTCCGAAATCCAAGGTTTGGCCGGCCTCCTCGCCCTACGTCACCGCAGTGGGCGCCACCATGGTCTCTTGGGCCCCAAAGGCTGCCGGGGTCCAGCAGTTTCCGGCTGCGAACACTTTCGGGCCCAGAGGCTTTCGCTCAGTTTGGGTTTGGACCCTCACAACTTGCAAGTTTTGATTGGTTCAAAATCCATGAGCCCTCGGGGAGGAAGATGTAGTCTTCCCCATCACTTGGGGCTCGGTCGCCTGTTCTAGGCCAAGTGGTGAAGATCCCTTTTGTTGGGAACGTGGTCGACCCGGAGAGAGGACCGGCACGAGACTGAAAGGGCCCCAGGGCCGCTTTTGGTCGGTTCGAACGGTGGTTCGCCGTAAGACGAAACATACAGCGACGAACACGACGAAACATGAGCAGCCAGGCAGCAGCATTAGGGACATGAGAGAAGCACATGAAAATGAACACCTAATTGGATGGGCCACAGATTGAAAACAAAAAGATGAGACTGGATGAACTGGTTCTCAGGTGCCATGGCTGCCCCATCTCAGTCCGCGGAAAACGCGGAAAACGCGGATGCGCCAAAGCCAATCCGCGACGGTGGCTCCTGTCAGTGTCCCACTTTCCGCTCGCCCAGGTGTCCAATCACATGTCGGCGGCTCGGCAGCAACAGCCTGACTAAACCTTCATATATCTTCACAGAAAGCCCTCTGGAAGCTGGAGAACCCCACCAATTTTTCTGTTTGACATATACAGATCAGGGGATTTTTTGGTGACCCAGTTGCAACTCGAGGAGTCTTCCATCCCATCATGTTTGGTTTCATGACGCGTGTCTTCCAGGTCGCGCTCAGTTCGCCGTGCTCGTGCACCGTGCTCCGTGCTCCGTGCTCCGTGCTGAGGAGGTCTGCAACATCGACCGGATTTATGCCATGGGAAGCAACTCTTCCATGCCCTTTGCCTGCCCAGAGACCAACGTGGGCGAAATCGCCGCCCGGATGGATGAGAGAGAGAGAGAGAACGATGTTTAACTCAACCTGGAGTGGGTGGTTTTGCAGCTAGGTGAGAAACGTTCGATAGAGACACTCGGATAAACTGTGCTCCTTGAACGATGCGAATACCGTTTTCGGCCACTGATTGTTTTGGGACCCTCCTTCCAAGTTTGTTTTCTCATCCACAAACACAAATCCAGGTTGATACGACGTCATAAACCCTCATCTCACCGTTACCTGCCAGAGTTCGCTTTCAAAAAAGAATCTATTCGGATCCAAGTCTAAGTCCATCTAAGATTTTGGCCAGCTATACCAACCCCTTCCAATCCGCGCCCAAAAAAGACTCGCCTCGTTTGTCTGGAACTCCAATTGGACCGCCTCTTCAACAACACTGAGATTCCGATCTTCTCTCACCGCAGTCGTTTGTGCCAAGGTGTGCTCCACGCAGACTGGATCGATGATCACCAGTGGTGGGGGCTTCTCTCAACGATTTGCGAGGCCTGACTATCAGGCGCTTCTTTCGTCTTCACCGTGACCCGCTGCGCCGAGCCAACGCGTGCGAGCGACCCGAGTCGTCCCCCTGCGCTTCTGGAAGACTCAACTCCACCGAAGCAGCTCGCAGTCTGAGGCCGAAGTCATCGAGGAATATCTCAGCCAGGTGAAGGTGAACCGATCCCTCTTCAATGCCACAGGCGTTTTCGACCGAATCAACGGTCGGCAGCGGAATCATGCATTCTTCCAGCCACCTGTGGTTTGTGGGTATGATATATTAAGAGCTATTCTCTAATTTTCAGCAGCTTACTTGGTAGGCTTTTGATTCAGCTTGTCGAACTCCTTCATTACATCGCTTTCATCCCAAGCCGCCAGCAACTCTTTCGTCACGTCTGAACGTCTGAACGAGACCTCCCGTGCCGGCTGTCTCACTCTCGTCCAGGCCGGGGATATCCGGATCTGAGCGCCACGGGTGCTAACGTGCCGATCATCTTCGAGAACCGCTTGACCATGGCGCCTCGATCGGTGGAGAGGTGGCAGTGGCAGCTGGGATAAAATCCGTGTTTGTTGCCAGAAGCGATACAGCCAGTGCTTCTTTGGTGCGCTGCGCAGGTTTGTGGAGGATTAGCAGTGGGAGGGTTTTAGGTCAAACAAGAGTTTGCAGGTTTCCCCTCAGTTTGCAGCACAAAATCGAAGGACCGTGTAACCTTTCAACAGCCACTCCGAGGTTGGTGGCACCTCCGCAAGCAGCTGGGTCGCCCAGTAGCTGGGATCGAGCAGAACTCTGCACGGCCGGGACTCAAAAGTCAGGGCGGGCGCCCCAAAGGTGCAGATGTCGAAGAAGAACCACACCATCTGATCAGCCTGATGCTGGTAGAATTCTGCTTCCAGTTCGGTATGAGAAAAACCACGACCGACTAGACAGCAGTTTCTCTTTCGTTCGAGGCCCGATCGTTGCGGGCTTGGTGGCCTTGTTGAATGGCGAAAGGCTGGTCCCGCGCCGTGCGAGTGGGCCGCCCGTGAGCGACACCGGAGGCGTGTGGGGTGGCCATCCGACATCAGCAACAGCAGCGACACCGGTTTCTTTCAACCAAGAGGGGCCCGGGGTGTACCCAGTGTGCCCTGTCCTTCATTGAGCAGCCCTGCCCTGGTGAAGCATCCCATGCTGTTTGTGAAGCCCCATACACTTTCTGGGCCGAATGGGACAGCCCTTCACGGCCGGCCCCTTCTAGATTGAACTTGCTGCGCCAGATCCTCGTAGCAACCGGGTGCGAGGACTTCTCGCTGAAAAATCGCGGGCTGGTTGACATCGGCCAGTGATCATCATGACAAGGGTATTTCAGGTGCTTGCGGAACACCCGAAACATCCCTAAACAGTTGAAACCAAAGCCAACTTGATCACTTTTGACTTGCTTTAAGTATCTTTAAGTGATTTCCCAACATGCTTGGAAGAACACTAGTCACTAATCCTTAATTTTGTATTGTGGATCTTCAACACTGCTCCACCTGTGCTGTTTGGATTTTCCGTTCTTGACGCCAAGCTCTCAAGTGCACCTTTAGATGCCACCATGAAACTCATACAGTTTTGATTCCAAGACTTTGCCATGAGTATCATCTTCGCGGAGTCAAACCACTGTTTTGCCACTCTTCGGAGTGTGGTTCGGGGTCTGGGTGTTTCAAACTTGGATGTTGCCCATGGAAAAGACTTGCCACAAACTGTGATGCACTGTGTAGTTCTCATTTTTTCTTGCTTGCGCAACTTAAGGTTGTAATTCGTTTTTTGCACTTGAGATTCTGAGACTGTGCCATTCAAGTGCCTGCAGAGCAAGCATTTGTTCTGCCCCTCTCTTGTTGATCCACAACAGGCTGGCTTCTGGCTTGCCACCTCTGGGATTTTTGAATCCTTTGTCTTTGAGCTCAGACGGGCTAATTCTTTGTGTTGCAAGACAGGTGGCGGCAAAGGACTTTTTCACAGTAGCAGTTCTTTTTCATGTTTGTCGAACTTCCATGGAAGTGAAGAAGAATAATAAAAAGAATAAAACAGATACAAATAACATTCAGAAGAAGAAAAATTGCGTAAAAAACAAGAACCATCAAGAACCTTTATAGGTCACAACGCTCTATCAGTCTGTAGACGAAGGTGCGATCATACACCTCTGCACCATCAACGCATGATCGAACCGTTCGGCCATCGATTCGACGATCCATTCGGCGCCTACCACGTGTACCACGTCACACATCGTGTGATCACCAGTGCGACGGGTGAAGGGATCCAATGAAAGGAACACCGGGACGACCCGTGCAACGGTGCCTATCCAGCTCCCGGGGTTTCTGCCAAGTCCCGGTTTCGAAGCCCAAAAATGGACCCTCAAACATCCTCAAACACCCTTCCCATTGGTTCGGGCCCCGGTTCTGCAAAAGACTGCTTCTCCGCGTGGCCCGTGCGGTTATGGCGGGTTCCGAGGCTGTACTCCAGCTATCAGCGGTGGCCTGACATCGTCCAGGACGTTCGGGTGCGGTGACCTGGGAGGCCGAACGGCAGGCCGAAGGGCAGCTGAGTGTAGGGAACTGGAGGGAGTCTCGTTCGGCCAGGCAAAACGAATGGGCGAACGGAGCCTTTGAACATGCATTGGGCCGTTTGTTTCTCATTTCGGTTTAGACATTTGACAAGAGGAGTGGAAAAGGGGTTCGTTCTGAGGGGATAGTGGTTCTTTATCTTTGATTCTGCAGGAGGTGTCCGGTGTCCACTTTGTTTGGTATGTTTCATGATTTTCTTAACCCTGGGAGTCAAAGACTATAGAAAGAATGGTCTTTAGAGACCTGAAAGGGAACTTCCTTTACTTCAGTCAACATATAGTCTTTGGACTTCTAGGGTTAAATTGTAGGGGAACCTGCAGGGCGAATTCTCGAAACACAATGTGAACGAAATTCAGTGGCTCTACCCCGCTTGAAGGAGATACCCCGGGTTTGGGGGTTCCATGTTAACACCAAAACAGTCTTCTGGTCTCCATGCGAGCCACAGCCAAAATGGGTTCGAAAAGGCTTGTGGCCCCTCCACCTTCCCTATTCTTTATAGGTAAAGCAGTTGCTTGCGGCAGCTTCAGCTCCAGTTTGGGCAGCTTGTTTTGCTCCTGCCCTGTGATCCCCTCCACGAAGCAGCCTCTTTTCCTCTATTCTCCGACCCCTCCGACCTTAAAGACGCCCGAAAAGCTTCAGCTCTTTCCCAGACACTCCATGTAGAGGACATATGCCTGACCCAGGCCTCCAAATACCACCCGAATTGGAACTACATGGGGGAATCTGCCAATCCGGATTTCTGGTTGACTGAACACATGGCACGGGGACCAGCACGACCGGCCGTTGTGGTGCCAAAGGAGCTTCGGTTCGTCTCATCGGGTACATCACTTTGGTTCGTGTCAGCTTCTCGCCCCTGGGAATCAGAAGAATCAGATTCGCCAACTTTGACATGGCATGACAGTCTTTGTTTGCCAAGCTGAAATCCTTGCGCGACTCGGTCCAAGATCTCAGGTGGGGAACATCTCAGGCTCCAACCTGCTCCTTGGACCGAGTGAGTTGAACCGGGGGCCCAAGGAGCAGGCGATCCGGGGCTGTCAGAAGAAGTGGGGATGGTGGGAACGGGAAGGACTTTGGGGATACGCCTCACGGGTTTAATGTTTGAAGAAAGCTGGATGAGCGGTGAATGCATGTGAATGCGCCAATTTACATGGTTCCTTGGTTTTCTCCTCAATCCTGAGTTCTCTTGGGAGTTCTGGAGGACGCAAGAATAATTTCAAACTGATGCCACATTCTTGCTGTGTTGGGGATTTCAGGAGTTCGTTTCGTTTCCATGATATAAAACCTCTGTGTTATTTTTGTTTGCCGCCCCAAGTTTAGAGCATCGAATGCTATATAGGATGCCTTCCAGTGCACCAAAAGCGGTAGGACATCGTGTCAATGATGGGATCTTGGAACACGATGGAGCCCTTTCATCCCCTTGATTTGCAATTTTTCAGTCGCACTGTGCAAGGAAGGATGATCTACTATAAAATGTGTATACAATGAATCCTTTAGACAAAGGTGTGAAAAACTGGTTTCGTGTCAACAGAAATGGGATGTCTCCCATTCTGAGAGGCATCCGAAAGAGTAAGCACAGTGCTGAGTTCGGGGCTGCGGTCCGTGAATCGCTGACTGAGTCTGACTTGCTACGCACAGTCATAGCCTCAATAGACAATGCTTGTGAAGGAAGTCCACCAAGGGTTCTATTTAATCCTTGGACACAAGCAAGATGTTCTCAGAAACACCCTGGAAGAATCCCACCAATACCAGGCAAACCCTTTTTCAGTGCACTGCATGAGGGCAAGCTGATGGGAGCTGAGGCTTCTCCCGAGCGGCTCCATCAGAGACTGCGCCCCCTGGGCGATAGAAGTGTTTATTTGAGTGAAGAGATGTGGTCAATGTGGATTTGGTTCTTTGAGAAGTGGATTTGTTCGAAAAAGGGTTTATGGCACTACTGTGGCGCTAAACTTGCATGAACTCACATTTAAGCTGGCATTTTTGCATCAGTGAACTGTGAGACTGCTGGTCTCTACTTCAATAGGATTCTTCTTTTTGGTTCCGATCGTGCTGGAAATACACACATGGCGTGAACGAACAAGACCTGGTTGTTGGAGTCCCCACGCCGCGGCGGCGTGGCTCCGGAACGGCGGCCACTCGCCTTCCTGCCCTGAGAGGGAGCAAGAAATCCTCCAAAGGGTGTCCCTTTTCGTTGAAAAACGTGATCCTGGAACGTCTTTCTTTCGCAAAGAAGTGAATAGAGTTCCAAACTTCAGCTTCTGACTTCAGAGTTCCAAACTGCCAAGAGTTCACTCGGTCGTTTCCACCAGTTCCTGGGAGTTGTGCCAAAAGTGGAACATTAGTGCTAAGGGTCGATTCCAACTTTCCTGGTTGAAACGGGATTTGGGTGGATGCGGGTAGACCGGTCTTGGGTTGGGAGACCTGACCTTTTGAGGCAAGCCCGCCCCCTTTATGGTCCACCCAGCCAGGGTTAGGGGGTGTCTCCACCAGTGTTTTCACCATGTACCGACCTCATGAGGCTGAAGGCTTCGAAGCTTTGCCGGGCTGGGATGCGGCCACTGGACTCGGTTGGAGCCCAAGTGGTGAGTGAGGGCGACTTGGGAGGTTTGAGGATGTCAGGGAGAGAAGTTCGGAGATGGGTGATGTGTGGGGTGAGCAAGGGTCAAGTTGAGGTTGCTTTTTGGAAGCCTTTGATGGTTCAGGCTGGTTCAGGATTGATTTCGGTAGAACCTCTCTCAAGAACTTAACGTCTTGGCTTGATGATAAAACTATATGCTGCCCAGTTGGAGCTTCCATTTTGGCCCCGCAATTCTTGAACAGGGATGGGGACTAGTCTGGCAGGTACCTTGTGCGGAGAGTGCCCATTGTAGCTTGGTTCAATATCAGCTGCCAATGGAACAAGTCATTCTCCAAAGGCTCTGATGTTCTAAAATAATGGATCTCCAATGATCTTGTGATTTGCAAGTGCAACAGCGAAAAAAGCCTATCACACACTGCACAAGATCACAAGCTATGATCTGCTACGGCTTGAGGTACAATTGTGGCAACCACTCGCCAGTTTTCTGACTCGTCCCGGTGTCCGAGGGCTTTTGAGAGAATCCTGAGCTTGTAAGGTCGATCAATCTCTTCGACCGCTCAGTGCTACTACTCGATTCTCCCGGCACCAACGCGGACCTACATGGTTCACAGACCTTATTGGGGGGGTGGTTGATGGTGGTTGGTTCATCAAGAGTCCACAAGTACTACACCTTTTGTTCTTTTTGGGAGGTACGGCGCCGCAAGACTCAACTCTGCACGCAACACCTGGCTTCGCTCAACCGAGGTTCCCCGAACTTCAAAGAGATGCCCCGGGCGCCCAGCGGAGAGGGGTCGCTGAACGCAAGTCTAACATAGCTCGACGCTGTTCGGGGTTCGTTCAGGGCGTTGCGACCAGATACGACTGCATCGACCAGATCAGAATACCTCAGATGATTGTTTTCGACGTATACGACTCGACGCCTGATTCACAAGAAGGGCATCGTGTGGCCACTTTAGGCCTTGTACCCCCCCGGTTAAGTGGGGGTTCGAAGAATCTGGATGGCTAGGTTAGTATTTCGATGCCTCTTAGTATTTCCCCTAATGATCAACCAGCATTCGAAAGCAGTGTGTCTTGATGTCTTCACCTCTTCACGCTTTCAGGCTCCAACGCCTCGTGGCGAGACCGCCCAACACGGAGCGCCTGCAGAAAGAGACGGTCGTGTGAAAAGAGCGTCTCCCGACGGAGCGCGGCCGGACATCGGTGATTGTGGGCTCAGGATGAATGTATAGTTGTTACCAGATGTTAAGTTTGAGCTGTTGTTTTTTCTTTTTTTAACTTGGGATTTGGAGTGTCATGTTTTTGTTGATGCTAAATGCTACTTTAAAATAGACTTTTTCATATAGATCCTAAACCAACAAATCCCCAAATTCCCAATCCCCAACAAGAAACACCTGAGAGAAACTATTTCCACATTTGGCAGCTAGCCTGCCTAAGGAAGTCTCAAATCTATGACTCATGAGGTATCATTTTTCCTGTGTATCTGCATGGATATGGGATATGATATATGTGTTTACATATAACTGTATTCTAGACATGTATATACAATATAAGAGCACATTAATATAAATAAAGAGGTAAATCAATCGGGCAAGGATTGCCTGATGTCCGAATAAAGATCAACGGCCGGTGATTGCCTGGTTGATTCGCGGTCGAAGAAATATGTGGTTATTTGACGAACATAACCCAGTGAGTCCTGGGACATTTATTTAATAGCCTTTGTGCAACGAACATTTATTGGTCGCAGGTCGGCTATTGTTTGGCGATCTCAAGAGATGCTGTCCAGTATCGTTGTTGCTCTGCAGGTATGATGCTCATCGGTCATTCCAGTATCTAAAGCGTTAACATGTTTTTTGCTCAACAGGGAGGTGTTGAGACATGAACTCAAATTTTCCAGAGGTCCTCAATCTGGCATCGGGAACAAACAATCATGCATGGGGTACTGTAAATCGATCATTGTTCTTTTTCTTTTGGCTGCTTATCCAATGCAGCCATGATTATGATATCATGCGGGCTGCGCTCGACCATTTGCTGGTGCAGCGACTTTGCAGTGGCAACTATGGTGCGCCCATCCGTGACTTCAGAAGTACAGAATTGTAGGCAAACACATAGAACCGTTGTTCGATTGCTGTTGGATGGCAGCGATATTATTGCTCGATGGCAGCCATTTTGGCATGAGGGCTTCAGTGACCTAGTGGGGCCTCTGAAGGGTTGTAGAACTATACCTAAACACTCCCTCAACGCCCACAGGATCGCCCAGCATCACCATCATCCAGGATCGGCCACACACCCATCTTTTTTCACCATCAAATCGAAACAATGCCGGCAGCTGGTCCTCGGCCGGTTCGCTTGCGACCAGAAGTCATGAAGCTTCTGGAGGAGCTTGCGTATATGAAGTGCGTCGTCGTACGTCCGCATGCCCATTCCGGTTTGTGAACATAATTAATATGATTTGCTAATATTGTACGTATACTGTGTATATGAATAAATAGCTCTGAACGCGAGGACTTGTATGAAGAGATTCTCAGCGACAAGGGCTACATCCACCGCCGACGGAAGGAAATAAGGAAGCAACACGAGATTCCACAAGGGGCAGACCCACGGTAGCAAGTAGGCCCACATCCCCGCAGCGGTGTTTTTGTTTTTCTTTATTTCGAGGGAAACCTTTTTTGCCTGAAATGCTTAGCTTGCTCAGGACGTGGTCTTCAGCATGGTGGATGTCAAGGTCCACAGCATTGGTGAAAGTCAGGCCAGTTCAATCCTGCCCTGACGGTTTACACTGCCCTGCCGATATGGTAGGTCGTGGCCGACGCAAACTTTGACATGGTTTGCCAATACCTTGCCTTGTTTGTGGGTGACTACGAGCCATTGCCCAGAAAGGTCGAGGTTGAGGCAAGGCGGCATGCGCAGCTTGCGCTCTTGAAGCAAAAAAAATCCTAGTGCTGACTCTAGATACCATGTCCATGCGTCAGGAGGCACTCTTCAAGGTGGCAAAGCGGGCCGCGGTAAACAGGTTCCGCCATGACCATGAATGGAAGGCCTGCAAGTTGTCATGATTGGGCATGAAATTTTGGACAACCATGCAACGCAATGTTTTAGTGCAGCTCGCTCAAATGACTTACCTGGCAGGCATGGGCCCATATTGAAGCGAACCTGCACCGTGCACTGGCATCCTACTGCATGACCAGATGGTCTCGCAACAAGGGAGTGAGGCGGGCCTTATCTCCATTATAATTTATAGGGTCGATTCTACGCTTGCGCGCAGGTCACCATCCAAGTGTGGGAGGATGCTGCAAATCAAAGAGATCATAAAAACCAAGCTGGAGGCTCCAGCTATTCCCAGAATATTTTTGATTAAGCTCATGCGCATGCAGGCGAATGACAAGTTGGCGGAGAGTGGCAAGAAGATTCCTGAGCGTGGCAGATATGCCAAAAAAAGCTAAAGCCCCAGCTCTAAAAAAAACATTAAAACATACAGCAGGCGTCATGAGTGCATTTACTCATGCCGTCGCATCACCTTTGTCACCCAGGCGAGTGGATCAAGCGTCGAGATCGACAGTGAACTGCAGGAAGGGCAGCAGCGAGATTTGCAGGAGGCGGGGAACCTCCTTTCCAGCTCAGCAAACATCAGTCGCACCTTCCTTTCCTTCCTTTCTTCCTTCGCTCCTTCGAACATCCTCTTGTGCATGGGACAGGATGCAGAAGAGCCAGACCTGTGCAAGGTTGACCTGCATTATGATCCAAGACAGGATGATGACACATGTGAGGATGGTGGCGGTGAGGGAGGAGAGGAGGAAGCCGAACGTGAGGATGATGAGGTTATCTCTGTTGATGATGATGCTTGTGATCAAGGTGATCAGGTTCGTGCGGAAAGCCCCGACAACCAATTAGGTCTAGATGAGGATGAACCAGGTACTGAGATAGATGACGACGAAGAAGAGCAACACGATGAGTGCGAGGAGGAGCGTTTTTGGTGATCATGAGACAGTTTATATATATGTTCCCTGAACCGATATGAGCCGATCCCGGCTTGAATCTCTGCTGTCGTCTCGACGCGAAGGAATTGGTGAGCGAGAACAATGAGCAATCTACTGCCCAGAAGGCGCGCTCTCCTGCTGAAAACTTTGGGTCACTCCACTTAGGAGGCCTTTCTATTTCAGTCCTTTGAAGCTTTTTTTGAGTTGAACACCCTTAATCGACTTTGCTCGCTCTTTACGCGCATGCCTCACAGGACCGCAAACCTTTGACTGCAAAATTGGCCTCGATGGACGCTGACTTGGAGGGGAGGGCAAATGCAATGTCCCGGAAACTCAGTGACACTGCTGGCAACGACAAACGCGCGGATCTTGTGAAGGCCTGTTTTTAATTGGTGTTCCCTTTCCATGCATGCCTCAGGGGCAGTGTTCTGTTGCTCCAATTTGTTTTCTATAACCGCGAGCTCGAACCTTTAATAACCCCTGCTAGGCACAACGAGTTTTGAGAAAAGCTGCCAAAGAAAGCAAAGTTGAGACTTGGGACCAGGACCAAGAGGATCCGGAAGATGCCGACCGACTGTATGTAGAAAACCAGAGCGACGAAGAGCAGGAAGCTAAAGCAGGTCGAGGTCGAGGCAAAGCGCGAGGTCGAGGCAAAGCGCGAGGTCGAGGCAATGCACAAGGCCGAGCGAGAGGCAAAGGCAAAGGTCGAGGAAAGGGTGCAGGGGCATTCAAACGGCCCGCAGCCAAACAGCAGCGCGACAGAACCGGCAAGGCAGAGGCAGAGGTGACAGAACAGCTCGAGGCTCCAGAGGAGACGGGACGCAAGCGCAAAGCAAAGAGGGGACAGGAACCGGCGGCAGAGAGTCGTCAAAAGAAGCCCAAAGCAAAAGAAACTTTGGATGACAACTCTGTGGAGGCTCCTGCGCGTGTTGGCATGAGGGGTCAACTCATATCATGATATGTCCTGCATATGGGGCGCAGTTGCAAATAGTTAAAGATCTTCTCTTCAATCTTGGACTGTTGGGTGGGCCTGAAAGGAGCAAGGAATACTATATCAGTGTACATGTGTTCAGGTGCAAGGTCCATCGACCTAGAGTGATATGCGCGCACATGTGCATGTACTACGCAATCTGGACTTTTGACACACTAGCCGCTACACTTGTACAGTGGTCAACTTGCAATTTAAGGGGGCAAGCGCTCATGAAATTGAAAAGCTCGAGGTATCCAATTGGAAGCGCCTGGACGAATTGGTGGAGCTGTGTCCCACTTTGAAAGCCAAGCGTCCTCCACTTCCTCTGGTCAAAAAGCCATCGGCTTGGATCCATCACCTCGGATTGCAGTCATGTGTCTAGCTCCCTGAAAGAACCAATTATGACCTAGGTCTTTCACTGTCAAGCCACCTTCCTACGCTGAATGTGAAGATCCTTCATCAATTGGTGTTTTGTTCAGAACTCAGAGCATGTCTGTTTTCCAACTGTTCAGGCAGCCCCACCAAAAAGTGCTGGGCCCGGCCCAGGTTGACTGAAGGAGGCTACTATGTCTACAAAGCGGACAAAGCGACCGTGAAGAAGGTTTGCAAGCTTGAGAATGAGCATCTCCAGGCACTCAACGCTTCCCGTTAAAGCTTTCCAAATTTGTTGTGTACCGGAATTTCTACCAATTGTCGACAATGAGTCGATCCTAATCGATCTAGTTGTGGATGCAAAGCAGGACTGTTTGCAAGCCAAAGATTGGGGCAGCAAAATATGCATGTGTGTTGTAGGACTCAGCATACGCAACTTCGCCCCTGACTGTTGCGCCGCGCAGGTGAACAACAATGGGGGTTGTTCCATTTACTGGAG